CCTCAAAGTGTCTTCTTCTTCCCTGAGAGCACCACCACCTCCAGGAAACTCTCACCTCTTTTTGAGGTCTAGGTCAAGTGAGTAAGGAGCTGCTTGGGCAGTGCCAGGCTCACGGCAGGAGACTACTCCCTCACTTCTCCACCTGTCCCCTTTCCCCCTTCCCCTCATCAGTCACCAGTGGGACCAAGCGGCCTTGGCTCCAGCCCCTCTGTGTCCTGGCTGCACTCACCTCGAAGCCATACATTTGATCCATAACCCATCACTAATGTCCTCAAGTGCCAGATATCTGGAGCTGGTTAACAGGGAATAGTGACAAGTCTTCTAAACCATGCCCCTCTACCCCCGTACCCCCAATCCTGAGTTGCTAGAATTTTCTTGTTCACCTATCCACTCAGCTGTCCTGTAGATGGTTTCTGATGGTGTATAGTCAAGAAGAGGTTAATTAATTCATTCACTCTTTCATGCATTTATTCAACATGGGTTAGTGTCTGTAGTGTATCTGGTCCTTCTCTGGGCACTGGGGCTGCTGAGAAGAGGTGGGTATCTGACTTCAAGGATTTCACAGCCTCTTGGGACAGAGAGGTGAATAAAAAAAGGTGAAAACCGTGATAACGAGAGCTGACACTTCCTGAGCGCTCTCTCTGTATTGGACAGTACAGCTTAGTTAACTTAGTTAGATCTACAAGTGGGGAAGCCCTGTGTCTTCTTTGGGGAAAAATTGAGGAGCAGCCCTCATTTAACTAGGAGGTGACTGATGAGCCAAGATTTATAGCTGAGGAGGATTTAACCAGCTGGAGAGGGAGAAGGAAAGGTGTCTCAGGTAGATGGAACAGCATGGAGAAAGGCTTGCCACTGACTCAAGTTGGTTACTGCCCAAGGAAGCCCTAATTTTTGAGCCCTTCTTTGTTTTTTTTTTTTTTTTTTTTTTTGTGGAAGGTGAGATTGTTACAAAATGTAGTCAGAAAAGAAAAATTTCACCACTTTTCCTTGGCTAGCAAGGGAAGCACCAGCTCTGGAGGATAACTACAGATTAAATCCAGCTATACCTCTGCTCAGCTATGTGGCCTTGGGCAAGTCACTTCACCTCTCTGAGCCTCAGTTGCCACATCTTCCCCCCAAATCATTCACTGCATCACTCAGTAAAAGAACTCAATGAGATAATATGTATAAAGGTTTAATACAGGCTTTTCAACACTTTCACATTTTGACCTAGATGACTCTTTGTTGGGAGGGGCTGTCCTGTGTATTATAGGATGGTTAGCAGCACCCCTGGCCTCTGCCCACAAGATGCCAGTAGCATCCCTCATCCAATTTGTGACAACTAAGATATCTCCAGAAATTGCCAAATGTCCCCTGGAGGACAGAGTCATCTTTAGATTGAGAACCACCAGTAACACAGTGCCTGGCATGTAGTAGAAGCTCAATAAATATTTATTCTCTCTT